ATCACAACCAAGCACTACAGCATCAATTCCAGCCTTCAAAAAAAATCAAAGGGAATTTTTAATGAACATTGTCACTTTTGTAGCAGGTTGTGGTTTTATTACTGCTATATTTTATTGTACTAGTTAAAAACATGAATTTTTGAAAAGATAAAGAAAACTAGGTGCAAAATCCAGGCTACAAACAAATACCTATGAGAATGAGTACATTTTTAATGCATGGTTCGTTGTAGTGAAGCTCTCTAGAATAACAGCTGAATCTATTGGTAGATCCAAAGAGAAGGTCAAACTAACAATGAAAAGCCATATCAAAAGATTTCAGAAGGTTGAGTTACAACACAAAGAACAATTGTCCTTGAGACAATGGGGTTTATGTCACGTATCCAGCCTCTCTGACAAAACTTGCAAACAAAATCCCCCAGCATTCAGCAGTAATTAAAATTCAGTTGAAACTACATGCCCCAGAAATGGATTAAAGAATTATTGAAATAAAGAAAAAGGGCATATTTATGCAGCAAATTGTATGTAGTGGAAGTGATTTAAAGGTGACAGGTTTCAAATCAGTGAATAGCCTTGGTGTAGCAATGACTAACCATTCTCAGCAAATTTTCGGGGATCTGAGGTTTGTTTTCATATTTTTTCCATTTGAGGCTTCCTTGGCTCTCAGTCTTTTGTGATCCCAAGAAAGGCAAGACACCAAAACTAGAACAACAGACATGGAAAAAACCCAGGTGCCCATTTCATAACATGAAGATTGTAATAACTTTTGGACAAACATGGATATATTATGTCCTGTGATTCTCCCTGCTACAGCACTGAATGCTCTCACAGAAACAAGGATGGAGGAAAACACTGTGACAGCAAACAAGGAGATTGGCAAAGATCCATGAAGTTCTTAGCCAGGTGTAGGTCTCTTTGGCCTCTGAAAAATTCAATTGACTTATCAAAATCATAAAAAACAATCTACTTCAGTCACAACAGAAACTCAAGACTCTTGAACTGGGTTTTCATACCTCCTATATCTACAGGGCAAATATCTCCCCTTGAACGTCAGGGGGAAGGAGGAGAGCAAACTAGAGAACAGTCAGCCCAACTTTAAATCTCGCAAATATATAATGCAAATGTTGGGCCTCAATATAGCTATAAATTATTTCTGCAGTAAAAACTGACTTCTCAGGAATAAACTGTGTCAAACCAGTCTTATTTCCTTCCCCATTATGATAGCTACCTAGATAAGGGGCATAAGGCCCATATTAAAACTGATGCTTTTATTAAGGTCCCACATAAAAATCATCACATACAAACTAGAGAAACATGATTAAAGCACTGTTTGTTGTAAGACAAACAGTGTCTGACTCTCATTGAGAATATATCCTGTGAATCACTTCCAAACTCAAAGAGTATTTCAAGTAGAGCTTCGCAGGGGTTTGTCCTGGTCTTAACTGTGTTCAGGATTTTGTTAATAACATGGGTGCTGCACAGTAAGCATTCCTAAAGTCTATCAGTATATTACTGAGCCAGAAGGGGTTTCCATGAGCTAAAGAGTACACTGGGACCAGTTTAGACACCTCATTTTTCAGAAAGATACAGCCAAATTGAAGAGTGTGCTGAAAGGGAAAAGACTTAAGAGTTTCCCACACCACTACTTATGAACAAATGCTCCTGAAACTGGGTTGGCTCCTTCAGAAACAGCAGGATGTCTCAGTCAAGCCCATCTGGTGCTTAGACAGCAATTATCCTTACAAACAGACATTTCCTTTTGCTCCCTCCAGCAGCAGAGCTCAAAATTTATTCTAGATCTCCTTCTTGCTGTTCCACTTAAGGACATGGTGAATCTGATGCATCCCCAAAAACTCAGTTAAAAAAATGGGTTATTGAACTGTTTTCCAAGACTGACCCAGTTTCCTCTAGTTGTGTTTGATCCTGCCTCTCTGCTGAAGCCCTGCCAAGATCTCTCCAGGTCCCTTTCAGACTCTATGATTTCTGTTGATTATGTTGCTTTTTTTATTTCCTGTTAAATGAAAAAAATAAAAGACAAAACCAATTAGTAAGACTTTTATCAAACTTCTAGACAGATAGCTGTAAGCAAGACTTCATTTTCCAACATTCTTTATAGACTTATTTAGACTATGAGTATATTCTAGCTTTTTACTTTAAGAATGTTTATTCTCCCACCCACCATGAATACCAAGCCTGTCAATCACACTAACAACAACAAGATACATATGGGACAGTTTAGGAGGAAGAGCAGACATGAGAAACTGCTCCTTTAACTTACTTGGAATCAACTCCAACATGTGTGCCTGGGAGAAAAAAAAAAAAAGAGTATGTGGTAAGTCACGTTACTTTCATTATTTTTATATAAAATGGGGAAAAACAAACAGGGACAACAGTTCGTATTTTCTGTACTGTAATATTTCATTGACCTATTTTGCTCAAGTATATTTTCCTGGGACAGTATTCCAATGTTACAACCAGTAAAACAAATTGCTTGCTGCTGCTGAGGCGTTTTGCAAAGCCGAACTTCACTGTGGAAGTTTTGAGATATGTTTAACACATTTAGAGCTCATGAATATATAGAGTAGTAAGAAATGCCAGCAGTATGATCTAGCAAACAGTTTTATACTGCTTTTTAGCTATGAAATCACAAATTGAGAACTTAATTTACAAAAAGCCAAGGAGCTGAAGCCTGCAAAAACTTGGTTTTTACATTGCTTGCACATTTCAGACTCTAGGAAATTAACTTTAGCCAATATATACTGTAAAGATGTGTTAACTCTGATTCTGTATGGGAATTAATTTCTCTTTAGAGGACAAAATACCTGGTGTATAAAATTTAGATTCCTCTGAAATTTGGTAGTTCTCAAGTACTAGATGTCCTTTTTCATTAGGGCTCAAAAAATGAAATTTCTTAATATATAGAATCAGATTTCTACCTTTTTTTGGAGGAGTGAAATTGTAAAACAGTGCAGATTAAAATTTTTAATGTCTCCAGTAAGACACAAGTTTCTAAAATAGCAGATTACTCTCTGCACACATACCAAATACATTTTTAAGCCTGCCAGGGTTCACAGCAGATCAGGAGGCTCCAGGGAATTTTCAAGTAGCAAGCGAGCCTGACCTGCCCTAGGCTAGTGCTGTTTCACATTCAGGTATCTAAATTCTGCTTCAAAATTTTATGTAAGTACCTGAAAGTTTGGAAAGAAACCATTTCTGTGGCCTGTCTTTATCTGGGGAACTCTGGAAGCCTCAGTATTCTGCTCAAGAACTCCTCCCACTACAGCCCTCACAACCAACATGTGTCCAAGTGCACATATTTATTTGGGTTTATCACACCATGAGAGGTGATACATTACATAGAGGAACTAGAAGTATGAGGGTACTAGGTAGAATCAGTAATCAAATTTAAGGTTCCCCAGCCAACAAATCTTGAAATAACCCCCTTGAGGGTAATGGAAAGCAAGTGGAAGTGCATGACAATATTCTCCATTTCTGTCCCACACACTGAAGGACAGAAAACTACAGCATTAATTGACCCAAGGGCAAAACCAGCATCAAGAGAGGAGACACAGGAACCCAGAGCCTCCCCATGTCCCTGGTCTTTTTTTTTTTCTTCTTTTTTTTTCCCTTTTGTCATTATGTTTAATCTGACTAAAACACTAATGGAAAAACATTTCCTGCAAGTCTGACAAATCTCTTTGGTGGAACTAGCTGTGCTACAGCCCCTTTGGGAGCACAAAACTGAGCAGAACCTTCCCAAACAGATCTGCCTCATTCCATGGACAGAGGCAGACTGCACTAACCCTGGCCTTTTCAGAGACTGTCCTAAGAGCCTAGAACACAAATTAAGGCAACGTCAACAAAGAAGGACTAGCCACAATCCAGTGTTGAGGGAGAGCAGAGAGAAACAGGAAAGAGAAGGAGGACGCCTGGGCACAGCAAGGTGGGGCAGCTGGCAGGGCAGAGCTGCAGCTCACCCTGCACTGCAGGAAGAGACAGCAGCTGGCAGCCAGGAGCAGTTCTCAGCATCTCAGTACTTCCAAAAATGCTCCCTGTCTGATGGGGAGGAGGAGGAGGAGCAGGTAGAGCTGGCAGCACACACTGAACTGCAAAATTCTTAATGCACTATTTTTAATTTGCCTTTGAGTTCTGAACTAGGACTGCTTACACCTACTCGATAAGCTAACAGCCTGCACTTCACATTATTAATGTTCCACACCTGATGCCAACTGTTACTTGGTTGTTTCGTGTAAGCAGCCACTAAACCTGCAACTCACACATCTCCTACCGAGCTGTTCCCAACTCATAACAACTCTACAAGAGACAAAATCACTCCTGCACTCAAACTAGGCAAGCAAACTTTCTTATAAGGAATACATATACTTCTTATAAGGAATACATGCACCCCTCTCTTCTGGTTCTGCATATATATTGCTGCCTCCTGTCATCCAGGAAGATGGTGCCTCCCCTTGGAAAAACTCACAGCCAACTTTCTGAAACACTGAACAACAAAAAGCACTATGAAATTCAACATCATTTTTTCATAATATGCCAGCCAAGCACCTCTAAGGTTTTTCTGAGGAGGCCAAATTTAAGATGCAAGAGCTTCAATCATATTTCTGCAACTCCGGGACTGGAGTTTTGCCAGATCCAGTTCTGCCAAGTCAGAAAATAGCAAAAAGGTATTCACTGGCAACACCTGATCTGTCAGTCACTCTAACAGTAAAAAAACATGCAGGAAAATTTTAAGGATAGCAGATGAGACACTTAAACTTTTTCAGTAATGGCAGTTATGTGCATATGTTGATATAACAACCAGTTCCTTATACTGGAGTCACTCACACGAGAACATTGGTACTTCCTAAATCACCCTTTACAGGCGTTCACTTTAAATGACCAAACAGGAAAAAAGTTGCAAAAAGGACTTCCTCTTCAGATTTCTACATCAGTAAAAAAACAGTAAAGCAAGAGTTCAGTAGTACTCTTGCAGATCAAGTTCTTTCTCCCCGGATAGAAGAATGACCACAAAACTACCACCTCAAGAGGAGTTTGAGAACTGGACAGCTTTTCAAGTTGCAGATCTCTTAAGACAGGTACTGAATCTGTATGTAAGACTTTAGAGAGTTCAGTCTATATTCAGCTAGCAGAAACACTGAACTTATCCTTGAAAACCAGATATCTTATCCTACATCTACCACAAATATTTAATAGAGCTAAAAATAGTTTAGTCACCACTTATATTAATATAACTTCAGTTTTCTGTAGAAATCTACTTCATGGTAGAAGCAAAGATCTCCAACATTACAAACCATACAAAAGATGTTTTCTTACAGGAGTATTGCTTATAAGAGAAAAGGTATTTCATGCCCAAATTTATTTCCTGCTGGGAAAAAATAATCATTTCAGAGAAAGTATGTCTAGTTTTATATGTGAATATAGCTTTAAAATTTACAGCATGTCAATAAGAATCTACTCTTCATGTTTTCTTCTCAATGCATATATACACACAGTAGTTGCTAGATGTTGTTTAAGTTTAATGTACTTGAACTTTTGGGGGGAGGTTGAGTCAGTGCTTTGTTGGCTTGTATATTTCTTTGCTCTACAAGATAAAATACACATTTAATATTTAAGCACTATCAGTTTTAAGTAGTCTAGAAATACAGAATTTATCTTAGGAAAGCCGCATAACTATGTCTATAAGAACTTATTGCACTAATATTTCTCTGTTAGCATCTGATTTGGTCACTACTGATACTGACATTTACACCTCAGCATTACAAATGCTAAAACTCAATTTGAGAGTGGTACATTCTTAAAGAAAAGATTCCCAAAATTTTTTGCCACTTTCTACGCATAATAGTTAACTTCTTTTAAAAGCCACACTAAGCCATCTAACACACTATGAGATTTTTAGGACATCTTCAGCCTTGATCCATTCTTTTCCACTTTTTAATAGAAAATCCAATGTGTCCATTTTTTTCCAAACTACTATTCAGTAGTTAGTTCTATTTCAAGATGTAATATTTCTGGACATTCTGGTTTCATTTTAATTAATAATCAACATCATCTTTGTTAGAAAACACGATTACCACAACCAAGTTACAGGAAAAAAAATCCTGTTTCTGAGCCTGAATTCTTTCCAGCAATGCCCATCAGCATGGTAAGTGCAAGACACAGCCCAAATAGCTGGTGCCAAAGTCAAGCAGAGCAAACAGAGGTTGGTAAACAGCCATGTGGGATGATGGCATGGCTACTGCTGAACTTTTGCCTCAGGTTACCTTTTAACCTGTTTCTAATTCTGGCTTCTTATCCCACAGCAATCCACAGTATTTCTGTTGGGCTCCTTGTGCCACTTAAATGACATTTGCTGCTTCGAAATTTCTTCTTGTCTACTCCATTCACAATTTCATTAGCCCTTATCCCCTGTAATCCTTCTTCCTAAGAAAGGGGTAGTACTGTGTCTTATCTCTTATGTGAAAGTCATTGCCTAAGCATTACAGTTACTCAATATTCTTTTTCTAATTATCCTTGTCAAGTAGTATAACAATTTCCACAACCCTGAGTATTTGAGCATGGAAATATTAGTTTGTTTACAAATGCCAAGTTTCACACTATTGTAATAATCTTGTCTTTTTTCTCACCCCAGTTTGGAATGTCTGAATCTGCTGTGGTTGTAGAGAAACTGTGCATGAATGGATCTCGTTTCTTGGTAAGCAAATATTCCATAAGAGCTCTCACTCAGGTGTATTTCAGCTTGAGGATTTTACTCCTTACAGTGCCAGGAAATAATGTGAAATGTTTCCTAATGGGTTGATTTCCACCTCTGACTTGAGGAATCCCCCTACACAAAAGAAATCCCAGTCAGCCTTCCCCCCTCCAGAGAAAAGGCAGATATAATCAGCCATCAGCACACAGGTGTGGGCAGGGGACAGCTCATGAAATATGAGGATGTTGTGGGCTTTTTTAACAATATAGATATTTTAAAGCCATCATTTATGTAAAAGCTTTTTCATAAAATTTGCATGATTAAGAACATTTACCAGCACAGAATTGTACATAAATTTTATAGTAAAAGTTTAAAGAAAATGTCTGAAAAATCTGATAATGTCCTTTCCTGACCTCTGTGGAATTTTTTGTATGAGCATGCTTAATTGATTGCAACTAATTAGGAGAGAAGACTAAAGTAACTCCTTGAATTGCAGCAATTCCTCTACCAATAATATCATTTGTGTAGCTACTGAAGTTCCTTAAAATCTATTTTAAAGGTAAAATTATTGTTATGGCGCATTTATGCACTGCAGAGATAATACGTTTGCTTGGCAATTCATTGCTCAACAGAACTGTTTCCTGGGTGCATCAGGAGTTACACCTGCTGTTTATTCTAACAAGAGCTTCAGTGCTGCAACATGATTCATGAGACTGCAGGTGCGCCATGGGCACAGAGTAAAAGTGGGTTTTACCAACAGCTCACACCAATGCAGGGGGGCTGACAAAGCTGCCAAGTCCACACTGATGCCTGTCCCATCCATCCATTACAAACTGGATCACTGAAGGTGCTGCAGTCTCCATCGCTGGATGAGAGGCAGTGAAGTTAAAGCTAAGGGTGGATGTGGCAGCTTCCTGTGGCTCTGCAAATAAAGCTGTAGAGCAGCAGTGGACTGAGAAGTAATTTCAGATGTTAGTGGTAACCTATTCAAAACACAAGTGAAAAAAGCAAGGAGAACAATGGATGATCTTTGGACAGTCTACAGTAGAAAAGTAGTATGAGTAAAAACAAAAGTATTTGCTAGTATGTTCTCCAAACTATGTAGTATCTTCAAAATACCTTTAAAGACTATTTTGCACTGCAGAAAACATAGCATTATACATACAACACAATAAGCAACATCCATTTTTTATGTCTGTATAGAAAAATTGAGACAGGTCTGACATACTGGTAGAAACTTTCCTACAAATTTTATATATTCTTTAATTGAATTGTTCAGTAGCATTGTCAACATGATAAATCTGCATGCTTGAAACAGAATTATGACAATACTAAAAAAACTCAAATACCTACATTTTTCTATCATTAATAGCCTTATTTGAGTAATTGTAAGATGCTCTTCTCCTATGTACAAGCTAACACATATATCAACTTAAAAGTAATTAAATCAACGGCCAAGTTTTTATTCCAAGCTCCTAGCCCAATATACGAGAAATCTGTACTATGCCAGAAATTAAATGTTCCTTATCTTCTACAAGGTGTGTTTTAGAAGGCACAGCCTTAGTAGAGCTACCTTAGCAGTATACAATGGAGTAACCATATGTTGGACATTTCCACTCAGAAAATCTGAGTTTCTTTCTACATGACATATAGCATGATTCCCTAACTGCATCTAATGTTCTGTGTAGAAATGTTCAGAATTCAAAAATCCTAAAAATCCTGAAGTTGTTATGTGCCTGTTAACTGTCTTTTGCAAGAACCTGAGGGTTTGCACTTCAGTTTATCCTTCAGTTATAAGAAGAATATTATTTCCTTCTACTCCTGTCTGCAAAGTCTAAACAGAAGCTCAATATCACCTTTAGACATTGAGCGTAGAATCACTAGAGAAAAGCTGGCCATCTATCACTACACAGCAATGAACCAAAAAAACTAAGCCCAAAACCCTTAAAACAAAACACTTGAACAAGCCAGATTACACCTACTAAATAGAAGTGACAGGTTTGCCTTTGCATGGGAATTTTTAAAAAGCAAATACAGGTTTGCTGCTGTGTGTGCATAGAGATCCTGTGCACACTTGGAGATCTCACAATACATGTGCAGTGTTTCTGTGTGTCTAGCAAAAGTTAGATGAATATTTAGATACAGCTCTGGTTTGCTGTGAGATCTGTTTGGAATCACTAAAAGTGAAAAATCCTTTTAGCCTGGCAGATAAAGAAGAAAGCAACTCTGTGGTATCTAACATGAGAACACAGTGAGCTTCCCCCACTGCCCCTTCAGAGAGGCCCAAGTTGTGTTTTACCTTTGCATCAGCTGAAAGATTGTCTTCCATCCCAGCTGCAGAAGGCACATCCAAGTGCCTGGGAAGGCAGGGAGGGCACTCCAAGGGGAGCCACCCCAACACCAACCCATCCCAGCCAAGCCCTTCTTCTGACAGTGTGACTCCTCCAGCCTGCCCCAAACCCCTGCTATGGCACTGACCCCTAAGAACATGCTGTACAGGGGTTTTGTGCCAGTGAGATGAGCCAAAATCCAGAGGTGGTGCCAGCCCTCTTCTGGGCAGCACTGGAGGGAAGCTCTCCTAGAAAGAAAGATCTGCAGCCAGCACACTGCACTTCTAGCAAAGATGTAAACACCAACCCACCAGATGTGCCTTTATTTCCTGGTTTTCCAGTGAGGACACTCATCTTTTCAATTTTTCCAAAGAGGAACGTTGTCAAATGTTGGGAAAATGCTGCAGAAGGTAATCATCCTATAGCCTGCCACTGAACTAACAGGAAACAACTGAGGGAGCCATCCTGCACAAAATCCTTCATGTCAAATGCAAACTGCATTTTATTTGAAAGTGAATCAAACATTTATCAACAGTAAGGTCTTTTTGAACTTTAAAGTGTTTGGAGTCATGCAGGCATTATAGGCACAAAATCTGTGATAACTTGGCCACAACACCTTAAATCAATTTGACTGCCTTCAGAATAAAAATAATCAACATTTATATGGTCATTTCTTTGAATATTTCTTCCCTTTGAGTGGCTAAAAAACAATCATTTTTATGGTAATATCATATTCTATTTTATAAACATACTGAGCATCCAACTGAACTTTTCTAGGAAACTAAATTACATGCATTTCATAAAAATTTAGAAGTAATAGGTCTTCTTTTACACTTCTGTAGAATCTAAAAACACAAAAGGTTGGTATATTAGATCTGAAGTGTACCATGCAGTTTCATTTTTCATCAATAGTACCATACTTGTGATAGTTACTCAATATGCAGGTCACATCTGAGTGATGCTAATCTAGTCCTAATGTGCAAATCAGCATTAAACCACAGCTGCATTGCACAGGGCATATTATATTCTCTCTTGCTTTTTAATGTCTGAACTTGCTACAGTGTGCTCCTGGCTTTTCAGTTCCCTCTAAGTGTAGGTTGCTTGTTTGATGTTTTTTTTTTTTTTAATTCTGTTTTGAATTCCCAGTGACAGATTGAAAAATATATAAAAACAGGAAAGTTTTACTTGAACTTCAGAACTGAAAATAGGAGACTTTCTTATTAGATTTGTATATAAAAATTTACTAAAAGAAATCTAAACACAGCAAAAATGGTCAGGCATTCATTCTAAACCACTTTCATGTATTTCTCCTCTTTCTTGCTCTTTCAAAATGTGTTTTGAATTGCATGGCTGGAATAGGAATGCCCTGGAGAAAACCAGAGCCATGTTATTCACAAATACTCTACTGGGGATTTTTGAATAATATTTAAAAAATAGAACCTGTGTCTTCCTGTGGGACTCCCTGCCAGTGCAAAACTCTGCCAGAGCTTGTCAGGTTCAACTCACCGAGCCTGTCCTTTGACATCCATTTCTGTCAGCATTGCTACTGAGAAAAAGCAGCTCTTGTCCAGAAAAAGCAACCCTGGTCTCACTTGGGTGCTCCCTCCCATCCTTGCAATACAGAAGCAGCAGACAGGAAAGCACAGGAACCACATCTGCTTTCAATAGTGACCACAACAACCAAACACACCACACCTAGAGCTCCTCTGCTGCTATTTGAAACCTCTCACCTTCCCCAGTTTCAGCTAAAAGAGTATTTCCCAATGATGGGAGTGATATTTTCACAGCATGGGGTATGGGAATAGGTGGAAAGACATTAAAATTCGTTTAGGTGGCTTGGATTTTGGCTTGGAAAAAAGATAACCAGCATCAGGTTCTGTTCAGATTGATCTGACGTCCACTCCTGTATAGTTAGTTTTACAAATAAAATTCAGACCATGAATGCCTTGAGTTTCCAGAGAGGGGAAAAAAATCTTTTCTATAAAAACAAAAAAAAAATTGAAGAATTACTAAGTACATTCTTATAAGCTAATTCTCCTGGGAAAGAGCCAAAAGAGTCTTGCAGTGTTTTCCCTGGGTGTCTAGTGAGGATAGAAAGCTTAGGTAAGGTCAGAGAAGCATGGTCCCAGGTACAGGTACTATTGAGTCCCACCCATGGGCTGGCTGTTGACACCTTAATGCCCTAAATGCATATCCAGGGTTTAATAATATACTGTATATCTCAGAAAGCCATAAAATAAGCTTTTTGCAATGACACAAAACTTTAATATTAAAGTTTTGGCATACCAAATTGTTTTGGAAATAGCATTGTTTGTCCTGCCTTTGGCAAGCACACAAGGTTACCATGGCAAAAAAAGGGATTGCTCACCACAGAAATGAAAACTGATGTTACAAAAATACACATCTTCAGCTACAAAACTAAATTAGGCCACGTAACTGCATCAATTTAGTTGCATTTTTACACTATTTTCATTCCTCTGACATTGTTTTCTCCTATTTATCTACCATCTGCCACCTTCCCCCTTTGCATTTCACCATGACTGAGCCCCTCTTCACCTACTCCCCTTTAAACCTCCTTGCCTCCAGTGCCTTCCAACCCCTAGTGCTTTGTTTCTGCTCCTCTTTTAGCCAGGGCCCTCCTTCCCGTTGCTCCTTAATTAGTTTCTATTGGTC